CAATAAAGCGACAAATTTACACAATAGAATTCTATTAAAGTTCACGGATTGTATTCGGTTAATTAGTCAATTTTCACAAAGAAATATTCAATTCAAAAGTTTCTACCGATGTTCAATGACTTTCGAGGACAATTTCATACCTAATTATCGTTTCAAAATAATTCGCAAGTGTTAAAATACGAGCGCGAGTACGCGACCTAGAACTTAATCGCGATTTGGACGCCACCAGACGCCGTCGTCGCGGTGCTATAAGACGAGCGATACCGTCTCGAAAGAATAAAGGCTCGTTTAGTCAGCGATCCAGATTTTACCAAGATATATTTAGACGGGCGCTTACTAAAATAAACTCCCTAATGTTTTGTGTCTTTTTTTCGCAAGGTGTCCAGGCTAAATTAGTTTCGTATGTTCCCCCATTAGACACTTTCTGATTTAGCCGATAATCCAGTAATTCTTTCCGCGAAATTCGCCTTAACTGCCTTTTCGTGCTCAAAGCGAAATAATTACCTGCACTTAATTCCACTGGATACGTAATAACCGATATCCTGCGAAAGCACGGCATAAATTCGAGTTTAAAATTGTCCCTGAGCTTAGTGGTTAGACTTCATTCGAAATATCAGACCTGAAACTACGTTGTTTTGACATGTTTACTGGGCACTAGCGGTGCACGTTATAATTTCGGAGGAATGTTCGAAAGTAATCATCCTTGAATTTGAATTTACAGCTTCTGCGAATGTGAAATATCAGTTTGGCTGCGTTTAAAAATAAACAAATTTAATTTGAAGTGTGTGTTATTCGTTTGCTAATTTCTTAGTACTCTCTAAGATTCTCGCTTTAATTTTTATTAACAATATACAATACAAAATTCGATTTTGTTTAAGATATTTATCAATACTCCCTTGTGTTTTCCATTGAAGTATCGGGCATATTTTTCCTCCTGTCTGCATTCAAATGTGATAAAAGTTTAATATCGATGGTAAAAATTCCGTTGTATAAGTACGTTTAACAAGCTAATAATAAAAGTCAGCGAATTGCGTTCATTCTCATTACTTGCATGGGATTATTGCGTGAATAATCGACAAATGAAGTTTTTAGAGCGTAAAATGTATTTTAATAATTTCTCCATTCAATCTACTATTAGGTATTATTTGTATAATACTATTAATTAAAAAGCGGGCAATTGTACTTGTACCTTGTACAGGACAAAGGATTATTTTATAAATCATGTAAGAGTGTCTTCTGAATATTGCAGATCTTCAAAAGATTATGTGCTTACGTTTTGAATATGGTATTGTTTATTTTCTAAACTCGCCTACCCTCATTTACACCTTTACCCAGATACTTTCTCCTCTTCCATGCCTCCATTCGGCTATGAGAGTGAATATTCGGTGGGCAGATCAAACTTGACGTCTGCAAAACAGGTGTTTCGATCACCGGGCATTTTTTTTTCAAGTGTCAACGACACGGCTTCTCTCCGTACTCGATCGAACATTTCGCAACGATTTTTTATAATTTATGCCGATAATCGATACGCGCGGGTGTTGCTAAAACATTTATCGCATACGAGACGAATGGTTGTTGGGTATTTAGGTGCTTCATAAATGGAATATAAATTTTCGTTTGATAGTAGAAACTGACTATATTATGGATACTTCGATGGCCGGCACACGGGCTATACTCAGTACGGACTTTGACCAAATAAGAAGCGACTTACGGAACTATTTACACGCGCTTCCAATGTCGTTGACTTTTGTGTAGATGTTACTAATTGTCATGGCCAAGGAACTATTCAACTCTAGTCTCCGTGCAGCATACACGAAATAATTTCTAGTTTCACGCATTTCCCACAAAATTTCCCCATCTCCAGCGGAATTTTGTGGGCCCCTCGCGGGCGTTCGAAAAACGCGAAATCGTTTTGTTTGCGATCGTATTCCGAACAATCAGCCGCAAAGCGCCGCGACACGTCTGTTTTGGCGAATTATCCGAATTATTCCGAATTCGTCGGACCCGTCTCCGGCCATTAACCAACCATTAAAACAATTGAACCCGCCACACCGTGCGCAAATCGCCCCAGAAGGTCATCGTAGAGATATTCTAGAGAGGACAACGCCTTCGTCAAGGACGCGAAGAGGCACCAGGTGACCGGTCGCTCCAAGTACGTCATCGCCGAGCTGTGCCATCGCGATGGTTAGAAATGGCCACTATCACAATCGGTGCTCGTGCACCGAGGTTCTTTTTTCTTGAATTCTTGCTTGCTTAAAGCCACCGACGGCACCATCAACTAGCTCTGAACAAGGGAGTTTTAACTAAAGAAATAAAAGGTACTTAATGCGATTGGAGCGTTAGACATTTAAATTTGCGAACCTTGTGAACGGTGTTGTGTATCGCTCGAAGGTACGTTTCTAAAAATATATCCGTTTTGACCTTTTAAAACTGGCGTATTTTAAATTCAGATTCAGCAGACTGGTTAAAAAATCGTTACTTTTCCCGCAGACGTCCGTAACAAACGTTGATTAATTTTTGTTGCTTTTTATATAAATAAATATGAAAGTCTATGCTGAATATATTGCATTTCAAGCTTCACTAGGATCTAGTTGCATGCAAATTTCTTGAGCGTCTAGACTTTTATGTACTTGCTTATACTCCGGGGTACTTATATTAAATGTGGTATTCTTAAGTCGTTAAAATGGTTATGGGAATATTGATTTTGAACTAAGTCTTTGTTGTTTGCTATGAATATTTACACTAAACAGGATAGAACTCAGTTATGTTTAACTAAGCTTTCGACTAAATGCATGAATTATATGTACCAAAAATTAATTTAATAACAGGTAGGTATATCAATGTATAGAGAAAGTAGAGAGACTATTTTTTTGCTAATTCTACTGGTTATTGAATATTTATCTGTAGCATTAATCCAATGGCTTTATTTTATAACAAATTTATCTAAAATGGACTGCATTGATCTAACAATGCGGGCGCGTAATTTATGGCTTTTTAATGAGAATGTATTTTTAAAATAGGCCATTTCGTTTTGCAATCATTTTAATGATTTTGGTAAAAAACGAGACGAACGCCATAACATTTAAAGTTCGAATAAAATGTGAAATCAATGAACTAATATTACCTTTTCTTAATCCAACTAATTTATTGGATAATAAAATATTTATTAGAGACTTATTAACTAACTCTTAATTCTCTTAACGTTTAATTTTGCAGCAGCGTTTATTCCATCATTTTTTAGCATTCTATTTTCCACTCGGGCAATTTATCAGCAATCTATAAATTTATGAAATCGTCGTGATTCGATAACTATGCGACACCTGCTCGAATTCGCAGTCAGCAACAATCACGCGCGCACATTCGTAAAATACTAACATGGTGAAAATTGACTAGAAATACATTCGACACAAAAACATCTTAAGTAAGCGTAATGCAAAAATAGTGTAGCGCTCTATGGCGTCCACTCAGGTCGACGTACTCCCGAGGGTGATTTTAAACCGCTCATTTTTTCTTCAAATAATCAATACTTTCAATACCTATTTATATTACCGGCTATTTAATTTTTATTTAGCACTTTACACGTTCGTATAGCTTTCGTTATTCCGTTTAAAAATTGCAGAGCTCGAATAAATATACGTTCAGACTGACACCGTTAGGAATAAAAACTCCAAGTAATGCGTAATGATTCTAATGATACGTTATTATAATTAATATCCCGTTAATCATTCGTGCATGCCAGTCACAGAGCCGGGCAACAATCCGATGCCAAAACCAACGAAAGTAAAGGCGAAAGAGAATTTAAATTTAAACACAATGGCGATTTGTTTGCAGCGAATTCGGTTTTCGGGCAGCCGAGTTTAAGATTGCATTTCCCTTTAAAATTGAAATGTCTGAAATTATCGTCCGGATGTAGTAAAGTGGCCATTAAATCGCTTAAAACCAGAAACTCTTTGTACATGTCATTGTCGATAAGAACAATTTTGTACAGTTTGTAGTTCCACGAAACCAATAAATGTGGATTGTTGAAATGTATAATCATGTCGGATAAATATTAGATATTACGAGATTTTTTATTTGTGCGTATATTTTTTATGAATGTGATTGCTAATGTTTTAGACTTTGTAATTTAATTGCACTCCATATTAAAATTACTAACTGTAATATACACGGGGATTTCTCGTTTGTAATCAGTTGCAAATTATTGTTAATACTTAATTTGTTTGTTATTGTTATTACTCTCCTTCCTGCCCATTTGTTTAATATGTTATTATAGGAGTTTTATTCATCAAATTTTATTTTGAAGCAAGAGCAAGAAAGTGTTTCCTTTACACACGACTTTTTAAAATATTTAATCAGATCAAACAATTCATTAGGTGCTTATTACTTTTTAGACGAGCCATATGATATTAAAACCCAACTTTCTCCAACATATTTCTCAGTTTATGAGCCATTAAATCTGTAGGTATTTAAACTTATGAATATTCAGATACCATCACGTACCATTACAATAATTTTCTAAGCTTATCTTCAATTTTATTCTCGTCTTAATAATAACTGTTGCGGATCCATGTTGGCGTCGGCGATCTAAAATACCTCGTTTTTTTTTCTTCGATTTCATTGTTCCTGCAACGAAAGGAAAACCTCCTACGCAGTCAATTCGGGACGAGTCGCAGCGTCTTAGAAAGGATGATACAGTCGGTGCAGCAGGAACGTCACCGGATAAAAGATATATTTAAAACGTAGGCGTTGCGGAGCTCCGTGCATGTGTATGTGTGTATGCGATAGGAGGTCAAGTGACCGGTGCATCTGGTTTTGCCGCATTATTTATTACTGAATCAGACATTCCTCGGCTGCAGGACAAACGGTTGAGAGCTTTCTCAAGGTTGGGAGTTCTAATGGGACGCCGCCGATTGGCGTGTTTTCTGAATTTCGTTGCAATTTTTCCTGCACAATTCATACGTAATGAAAGCTGGGATTTAAGTTTCTGTTGGTTGTTTCAGGTCCGGTGACAGTGCCTATGGTATCAACGAATTCCTCGCCGCCCATAGCGATGCCCGTTCAAGTTCCTCCCGGTCACATGGTTCAACAAATTGTAGACGAAAGCGGCACCTTAAGGCACGTTATATTGTCACCACAACACCCGAATCTCGTTCCTATGCCGTCACATAATCCTCAACATTACGTAAGTTGTGTATTGTTATTATTTTTTTAGGAGCTTCGCGAATGAAAAAGATCCCATTCGAACGAAGCCTGGTGTAGGTACTTTCTTATTTTATCTGTTTGTGTTGGTTACAGTTCGGCTACTCTTTTGTCATTAGTTTTTTTATTTGGTCTATAACCGGAGATTTTTCCCGCTCGACCGCAGACGCGTAACAAATAACCCGAAATTCGAGTAATTTAAACATTTACTGGTTTTACCGAATTTTATTTCTCATTGTATATACCCGTAAGTAATCGAGTATCCTTGATTACCTATACGGATGCGAATGAAGAAAGTTCAAATACCATTTTAGAAATCATCGCAAATAGTATTTTAAATTGTAATAATATTCGAATCGTGTTTGAACAGATACCTACTTACGAAAAGACGTGAAATAGAATTTCTTATTGGGCAAGATATTTTTTCCCATGGAATTCGGGTTTCTGATTCGAGATAGCCTCGACTTCTTTTATAAACAATTGAGCAATTGCCAGCCAATAAATAAGACCTGTTGGTTGTTTATCAATAAATATCCGGCTGGTGAAATTATTGCCAACGAAATACCATTCCGTGACTGCAGATTCTAATCGTACTTTTATTATTTCCCAGACTATTGTCATTGCATTAAGTAATCTACTATGTAGCTTAATTTTTTCCGTTATCCCTTTTTTGCCGGCCTGCTAACTAGTATGGGAAACATCTTAAATAATTAGGAAGTGGAAAGAAGGCTGTCACGTAATGAAATTGTCATTGTTTGGTATTATTACTCGCGGGATACACTCAAATTAATATTTTATTGCCGGTTCAGTTGGCAGGCACAGGAAAAATCCTTTTAAAACCAAGTTTAATGAGCAAATAACAATTATCTGATACATGGATCGGCAGTGCTGCTCGTATAATTCAATTATAATTCGAACGTCTGATAAAAAAATATTACAATGAAAATTTCATGAAATTCAGCAGGCACCGGTGTTAAAATTTCTCTTTGTGCATTTGTTTTAATGAATATTACATCGACGATGTGTTTTATTTACTGACGTGGGTTTGTCGTCACTTTGATATCGAATTCGATTTTATTAGAAGCCGTATTTTATTTCGCTTTGTGAATCCCACCTACGATACGTCACGTCGTTATTGTATTCCGATAAATTAGAATTCACTGATAATCCAAAAAGGAACCTTTTTATCAGTGAAAAATGCAGGTACTCTAATCCAGCCTTATCGTCATATACATAGGCATACAGTGAACAGTATTTTTTAATTGCACTTTTTATGAAACACGCGTGACATGTCAAACACGTTTATTTCGAAATTATCCTGTTAATGCGGTTTATGCATCGGATTTGCTAAATATTGCATATGCATTTATGTATAAAAGAGGTGTTAAAATGGTTAAAGTAAATATGCTTGCATGTTTTGTAATAATGTCTCATAATAACATTTTTTCTGACTCAAGTCCAGCATTTTTGCATAAAAAAACCATAATTAAATATCATTCATTTCAACTCCTTGTCAATGTTTGATATTTCCATTATTGAAACACTTTTAGTATAGATTTTAGATTTTACAGATAGTAGGTATCACTGAAGTGCTTTCAGTAAAAGAAAACAAACAATATACTATTTACTTTTTGATACATGCATATGTCTAGACAGTAAACATCTTTAACTTGTTCGATAAAGGGATGTCAGGTATAAAAATGGCAAAATGCGAATGCCTTTATCGAATTTATGTTGCATTTATCCTTCAAACATTCCGGTAAAAAAACTGATTCACAAAAACAGGACATATTCAATTTATATGGTTTTTTGTATCATATTTGCGGTTAATTGAGAAATACAATGTGGATAATAAATCCTCAAAATGCATTAGGAATAATAAAAATAACATTCGATAACGTTTGAATTATATGAACGCTTTGAATGCATAAAACTAAAGGCCTTGGAGGAATTAGTTTTAAATGTCGTCTTTCTCTTTTATAACAAAGCATATAATTGATTAAATACAGTCGATTTAGAAATATATACGACTTGGTTTTTCCAATGAAGGATGCTAAAAGTATTTCTATTCATATGTAGTTTTCAGCTCGAACAATATCTTCTTATATTTCGGTTTTATTCGCTTATAATTTTTTTTAAATGCTGGTACTTGTAACAAAATTCGTTCGATAGTCACGATTTATGCGGTTCCGGGAATTCGCGAAGTTTATTGAGTGTTTTAAAATTAGCATTCGAATTTAGACGGATGTTGACCATTCCGTTAAACGTTGCAACTTTAAAATCACGCTAGAAAGATATGACTCAGAATATTCGTGAATCATTTTACTTAAGCTTGGCAGAGGCTTTCACAATTATTAGGGTCAATGTGTTAGAATTTTATTACATCGAGGAATTAATTACTCCACGGTAATGTTCTAATCATACGAATGTTTAAATCATGAGCATGAAGTCGTCCCTGACTTGTTAGCTTTATGAATTTTTCTGTTATTTTTTCATCAATAGTATAAAATCGAACCATCGATTCCTATGTTTAAACAACTTTTTGTTTATTTTCGTTATGTTCCTTATGTTTGCCAAAGGTTTTTGTACACTTTGCTTATGTACATTGAAACTTCTGTGTTCTAAGTTCAATGGTCTTTGGAATTTTCTGTTACCGATTTCGTTCGAAACGAAATTTTAAGCGAATATGCATAAAATGCTATCTGCTCTTTTATTAAAATGCAAACGTTTCCTGGCACGTTCGCGCCTATAATAAAATCGATATAACTTCGAAATTTACAATGCCCGATAAGAAAAAGTCGCCTGCGAAAATCTAGGAAAGTGGGGCAATAGAAGGTATGCTAATGGTTTTTCAATAACTTCAAGACGAAACCGGGAATTTTTGGCCGAGGGCCAGTTAATAAAGGAATTTCTATTGCACTGACGACGTGTACGTATTGTAAGTACGGACCGAAATAGAAAATAGGATCCCCGAAAAACGACAAAATAACGAATGATGTTTGTTTTGACTTGTAGTCTTAATTTAATCGAGCTTTACTGGCATATTGTTCCTGTTTTTCGTATAAAAAAACCGGAAAACTCGGTGGAATATCAAACATCTGTAGTCGCTAGCATTAAATAATCTTTTTTATGGTACACAACTGAATTATTCCGGAATCCAGAACAGTGTTGCCTCTACATAGTGATGTCACTGCTAAATTAAATTAAAACCAGCACTCTTACTAAATTGTGATTGTAGACCGAGAAGATTGTTTCAATTCGAATATAATCTTATTAGTTGTGTTCTGAGTTGACATGGAATGCGACTAAATAGCCAGGATTCAATTACGATAGGAATTGTAGCATAAAATTTAGATCTATCGCTATAAACAAAAAAATATTTTTTAATGTCTTCAAGCAGTACCGCTTTTTTCCATCTAAATTATGCAAACAAGCAGAACATTGTACGTATCGGACGAAACAAATTTTATTCTAGACTTTCTCTGAAGAGTCCATTCATAAGAATCTCTCGACCAATTCTTACATTCGTTATAACAGTTATCCATTCTTTCCACTCTTTATTGTAAGCCGGAAATTCTGGTTTAAAACTAAACGAACGACTTTACGCATGCACTATAATTTTAAATTAAATTGCGCAATAAATAAGTTATTATCGTGATTATCAATGCGCTAATCTACCAACTTTTTCTGATTAATTATCATAAAGAATATCTTGAAAAAAGCCCCGTTAAATCGCCCGCAGATCCTCCAAATTAAACGGTCCTTCCTTCCGATGGGTTGTAGCATATTTTTCCAATGTACACATCGCAATTACATTGTAGGTAAGTAAGTACTTACAAAGAAACAATAGACCAAAGTGTACTTTCTCTTTTCGTGCTCGTAAAGGTTACCGCAAATGCGATATCTCGAACGGTTTACCTTCACATTTAACCGGATGTATCGGTCTCCCAACAATGTGCATGCCTTCTCTTATGTTACGAACGCAACGAGATACGTCGGCTGTGCCTAAACATAAAAACTATTAATTGTTGTAAAAAAAAGCGCCGCCATTTAGATCGGGCGCGGCGATTTGCGCGATTTTTGTTATCAATCGTGGAGTTTCTCGGGATAAATGCATCGTGGAAACATAAATGCATTTTTAAATTCGTCGCTTTGCATCTGAAATATAAGTAGACGGTCGCCAGTTATAAAAAAATGGTTACCGTTGGTTGTTAACGGTAGAAAAACGTAGTTTTTTTATTCGTTGGGCGATAAATAGTTAATAATAGGAGACCTGGCATAAATTTGTAAACGATACACGCCTACAATTCATGTTTAGAACCGGTTTTTAATTAATTTAACTCAAACTTTAATCAATCGACATAGGCCCATAGTTAAGATTTTGCGATAAGTATTTGTGATAAAAAAATAGGTGCGGGTAAAGTAGAAACTGTTGTTCTCGTTCTAATCGGACATTTTCTAGCTACTCGATCGAATATTTTATTATCGCCTGTTTATACAGGAGTAATTATTTTATACAAGATCGCACCGTTAGATTACCCTTTAGTTGTTACATACTTTACCAGATAAAATCATTTATGTAGCATTCAAATTAGGGTTCTAAACTTCCCGCAATGCGGTCCTGGAAACGTTCTGCTATATGAAGGTCGGCAAAAAGAAATTCTCACAAGAACGCACCGGGGATTGCATGTAGCATGTTTTTATTATCGAAATGTTTGTTATAAATGCTAAACTTAATTTCACCTATTCGCGTAGGTAGAGGATTTCACTTTGCTCGCGTAATTGTTACCGTAAATCTGCAAATCGCTAAACACACAGAGCGCATCGGGCGTCTTTCCTGGAATTGTTGGCGTTTCTGATAAGCGAAAAATCGTTTGGGAATATATTTCCGTATCTCGATCCCGCCGGAATTTCGTAATTGCGTTAATTAATTTCCTCGTGTGGTTATTCGCTGAAGATTCGGTGTTAATTTCATTAGGTGTTAGCCGGGAGTAAATAATCTCGGAAATGGCTGGTTAGAAGGAATTTTCCCGGTGTATAGTGCGAATTTCTCGAGACAAGCAGTGAAATCAACACCCTATAATTAAATCGTTGATATTGGAATTTCTTGTGAATTACGAGTATTAAAGATCGCCGATAAATTGATATTTTCATAAACAAAAATAGCGATAGCGACAATTTTAAAATGTTATTCAACGTTTTTATTCATAAGAATGCGGATGACGTCATTGTGTAATACTCGGCCGAAGGGGATATCCTTATTTATTATTATATCACAAGGCTGTGTAATTTTTTTGGAATAGAAATTCGCTATAAATAACTATTGTTCCATTTATGAACCCATATGACCTAGTGGTAATATAATCAGGAATTTTCTCAATACGGACCGAGCCGCGCCAATTACTGGCTAACGACTCATTCAATTACAGTTACCAATTACTAATACTAATAGACGAATCAATTACACCGATGCGTTTCGCTCAATTCGAGTGACTAAATTTTTTTAAGTCTTTGTTCGTAATCGGCCGGGAAAAAAAGCCGAGCCTCCCACGTCTTTTCATTCATCCGAAAATAATGAATGAAACTTCAACGCCATCGTAATACGTCGTAAGAAAACCCCACAAGGTCTTTGCGAGATACAAATTTCGTAGTCGTTTTATTTACCGGATACAATTCTACACATAATAGCATTTCATGATTAGACCGTTTCCGGACGTGCTTATCTATATATATTATTAAACGCGAACGCCATTCGGCCGAGTGAAAGAGTAAAAGAGATAGAGAAAGATACTGTAGCGGCGTGCTTGATAACGAATGATAATTTAGTAGTGGGTGTTTCTGATTTTTTTTTCCTATTTTTTCGAGAGGCCCAGATAATTGTTTATCGATAGCGAAAGGGGCAAATTTTGGCACAATTTGATAGTCGGCGAATTTGATAATTACTTCTCGTATTCGAACGAATTCGATTCAAATGCGAGATTTTCTCGGCTAAAGAATATCTCTCATCATCATAACTGGAATAGTGGAATAAAGGAGCCCATCCATAAACCGTAATCTCGAACTTCGGCCGTCCTGGATCCGACGACTGGAATTACAGTCGAGTTCTGGCAGTTTACAAGGAGGGTGTGTATACACCCGACCGACTCCTTTAACTTTCAACTAAACTCCGAACTCTTCTTCTTTCATTTAAATGGTAATGACAAAACCTACGCCGGCACGCTATTGGATGACTGCCGTCCGACGCAGGGCCGTAACGAATTTTTTAATCGTTTAAACATTTTCCGACGTTTAAAAAACGATAAATCAAGCGTTTCAATTCAATTGTTCCCGAATATTTAATTGCCAGTTTCTTTTTTTTATTGAATTAATACAATGCCTGTAACGGTGAAGTTCACATAAAAGTTTACATAACTGCCAGATATAATGATTTGTTATGCAATTTTATTATGCGGATAAGGAAAATTTTATTCCGTTATTTAAATTCTATGGAATGTTTAAAACGAATTCGATCGTACGCTACTGTTGGTCAACAATTCGCCCGCCTCCTCACTTGACTCACATGCTCCATATTCATTTAAATTCGACATTTGAACTCGAGCAACGTACTAAAATGACTTGTTTGTAGCTGCTCGTTTATGATTAGTGCCAATAAACGATTGACAATCAAGTCTACGCGACATTTAATGGAAGTAAGATTTATATTCTGCACGTGATGCGGAACGAGAAAACCGCGAAAATGGACGTCGAATCGCCATTATTGTCCGCTAATGGGAAAGATGTAAATGTCCTTTCCATTTGAATCTTAATCTACGCGGATTGTTCTAATTGAAACTCTGAAATTTCTATATCTATCGCACGATTATTAATTTATATTTCTCTTGTACTGGAAAAAAGTTAGGAATCTTCTGGGCTCGTTTGTAAATCTTTGCGTTTCGAAATCGGCTGCAATTAAGATCGCAGACAAACAAACAAACATCACTTTCTCACCTAATCCAATAAGCACGGATTTTTTCGCGCAGATAGGACATGTTTCGTTCCGTAATTGCTGTTAATTTCGATTTAAAAAGTTCAGAAACCTCTAAATCGACGGTTGCGACACCGGCGAAGTGAAATTACCGAACTAACGGTTAATTAGCGGCCATTTAATCGTTATAATTAAATATCGGTTGCAAATCGTGTGAAATTCGTTCCTACGATAAAAGCGCGGCTTTGTGCAATTGGAATTTCTTGGAAATGATTCTGATTTGTATGTTTATATAATTCATTTTTATTCAATCATATTTAATCGATTTTTTCAATACCGAATTCGAAAGCTAATTACGTGGTACCTCTCTCTCGGAAACAACACAAAAATTTATTAACTTATTACAAACCAATCTTATCTGCGTGATAACATTATGTATAGTTAACTGAGCGCTACGTAAGCAACAAGTGAATAATCAGTATTTGTACCGTGCCACATATACATGCATCCATCAGCTGGTCGCTGTATACCACTCTAGTTGGTACGACTTTGAAGAAAAAAAAAACACAACAATAAACAGCCTCATTAACGTTAATAGAATGGAAAAAAATGACGAAGAAGAGCAACAGAAGGAGAACGACGGCGACAATAAGGTAGGTTAGTGATTTGAAAGTCCGTTTGGAAAAATCGCGCGGCCGGTCGTTGCGAATTTCGAAAACATATGTTGTTTGTGTGCGACCTTGTTTCAATTGTATTTGCTCGTTTAGAGTTAATTATTCGGATGTGCCGATCGGATTAATGCAAATATTCCGGGGATTCCCGGGAAATTTCGTTTATTATTAGAATACTATGAATAAGGCTGTAAATAATAGGTGCGATTTTTGTTGTTTGTTTGAAAACATGTTTGCTTAATTCAGCGCTATTTAAATACGATTTATTATCCTTCAATAAGTTTTATTGAATTGAATATTTCCGCTTAAAGCTAGTACGGTTCATTCCATTTTTTTTTCTATTAATACAAAGGTGTGTTATTACTTCTAATATGTTAAGATTACAGCGAGTTATTTCGCAGAAACTGTGTTTGACGTAACAATTGAAATTCTTAGGAATTCTAATTATTTTGTTTTTAAATATTACATAAACGTTGCGTACTTCTCTAATCTAATGGGTTAATTAACGGGATATTTATTACTTTTTTTGTCGATTACTTTTTTTGAGTAAACACTAAATACTCGTGTTATTTACAGTTCCTGTACAAGCATTTCAAAATAAAAATCAATACTGATAAACGATTGTGAAGTACCCACCTGCCATTCATTAATAAAAACCTCCGCTCGCAAAAGCAACAATAGCAATAGCAATAGCTAAGCGGGTTAAAAAAAACGCGTTGTTTTCAGGGAGGCGGTCCGGGCAACAACAATCCGCCGTCCCAGCAGTACTACCCCGGCCTTCCGACCGGCTATCCGCCGCAACAGTTCCATTCCAACTTGCAAACGGGCCACCCGGTGCCGGCGCACCTCGGCCACTCGCCGCCCCCGAATCCCACCTACTACAAGGACGAGCGGACGCAGCGGCAGCACATCAAACTTAAAAAAAAGCTGCACGACAAGCAGCAGAAGAACGACAGTCTGTTGCCCAGGAAGGAGTTGGTGAACGGTCTGAAGAGATCGGGCGCGGGCAAGGAGAAGGGCATGAACAGCGTGGGCACCAGCGAGGACGGCGAGGAGAGCAGCGTGCCCGACGAAGAGGATTCCATACAAATAGCTACTGATATTTTGTCGTCCGTCCAGGCGCCTAAGGTGAGCCCGACGACTCCTGCATTTTTTCCGGAGTATTTAATTTTGTTTCGCAGGTGTCTGAACTCAGTTCCCGTAGTGCCTTATTGCAATGGGCGCCGCCCGTTCGTCTCTCTGAATCGGCGAGCAACGACAGCCATGACATTGATATTTCCGAGTCTGATCTTAGGTACGAGGTGCTACTCAGTGATAAAAGCAAAGAGATGAAGTTCAAGTGCATCTACAGCGGCGCGTCTCTCTCCTGCAGGATACAAGACTTAAAACCCGGCCAGGAATATTCCGTGTGTTTACAGGTAGGATTTCTGCTATTGTGGGTATTTTGTAAATGTAATTTTTTTAATTGCTCTATTGAAAACGCTTGAATTTTAGTTCTAACGTTCGATATTAGATATCATCGGTTATTTCTGTCCCATATGTGATCTTTGGGTCAAACGAGTAAAGTTATCGATTAACTTGCTGAATCGAATCGATGTGATTTTTTTTAATTCTTATTAATTGCCAGTAAAATTAGAAATTGGTTGCGCAAGCGAAGATATCGATTCGGACACCATAAATTTTTTTTACTCCACTATCAGTTCGTTTACCTCTGTTAAATACCGAACTGTCAAAATATCCGGGTCGTATCGATCTATCAAATTGTTCGAAAATATGATGTAATTTATAAATTGGTGAATGTTGCGAATTTAGAATTAATTTTTTATCGAATCCGCGAACATCAAACAACTCGGAACGATTAATTTTTTACCTACATATTAAATATCATTCAGAGTAGTAAAATTCACCATCCGATTAATCTTCTCGATCGCCCGCAATCAATTCCTCGTAATTCCGACATTAATATCGAATATTTTTTTATCCGCTTTACGCACTAGCCAGTTTAATAGTTAGCCAGCCATCAGGTTGATAGTAATCAGCTTATATCGAACAAGCTCCAGACTAAATATTTACGAGAAGAAGAAATAAAATATCGCGAGGTAACGAGTTTGTTTTTCAACGCTAACTAAAGATTTGTTTTCGCGGTTTCTTTTTAATTTATGTATCGTTTGCTCGATTGTAATTTGGTTAATAAGAAATAATAGACGTTATTTGTTGCCAATTCGAATTTACTGGTTAATAATAAATACTAGATGTTTAATTAACTAAATAAAAACAGGCACAAGTAAGTATCCCCAATTCACAGCCTTTTCTACCTTTGGAGCTCTTTTAGACTGGTTGTAGGGGCGCTTAAAGAACCGATCCGATTTCCAGGTGTACCTCGACGAAATCCAAGGCTCCGCCACCGATCCCGTGAAATTCGTGACGCCAGCGTGCGAGCCCGACCAGCCCCAACCGCCGAAGCTGCTCAGCCGCACCAAGAACTCGCTCCAGCTGCGCTGGAACGCCGTCAACGACAACGGCTCCCACATCAACAGCTACGTGCTCGAGTACGACGAGGGCAAGGGCGGCGACTTCGTCGAGTTCTACAGGGGCCGCAGCAAAACGCACTCGCTGCAGAAGCTCCTGCCCGCCACCGCTTACACCTTCAGGTAAACCCAACAGCAATCAACACATAAATCGATGAATTTAACGAACTTCTTTCCGATAGGCTCGCGGCTGTGAACGAGGTGGGTAAGAGCTCGTACTCGGACAGCATCGCCTACAGCACGTTCGACAATCCGCCGGCGCAGCCGGGCCCGCCGGCGCTGCAGGAGGCGCACGTCCACTCGCTGCAGCTGCTGTGGCCGAAGCGGCCCAAGGACGACGAGTTCGTGCTGCAGATGAACGACACCGAGAACAAGTACGGCTTCCTGAACGTGTACCTCGGCGGCGAGAACCGGCACGTGTGCAGGGGGCTGCGCGAGTGCGGCAGCTACGCGTTCCGGTTAAGGGCGAAGAACGAGAACGGCACGTCCCCTTGGTCCGACGAGGTCACCTACAGCACGTTGCCCGACAAGCCTTCGAGACCGTCGAAGCCTTTGGTCAAAGGCAGGATACACGCCCATTCGTTCAAGCTGAAATGGGAACCGCCCAATTACACCGGCGGATCCGACATAACCATGTTAGTATACTGCTCTCTGCGATACCCTAGCTTGCTTCTACTTAGTATATTCGTTTCGTGTTTTGTAGGTACATTTTAGAAGTAAATTCGGGTAGCGGCTACGAACCGGTCTACCAGGGCCTCGAAACGGAAGCAGTCTGTGATAAACTGACGCCCGGCACGACTTATCAACTCCGTGTGAGTTGCATCAGCGGCGGCGGCGTCAGCAACTTTTCCGATCCCTGTACAGTGACGACGGACGCCGTCAGTCCGGGACAATGTTCGCAGCCCAGGCTAGTCGGAAAACCCACGGCCAATCAAATCACCATCCGATGGGTAAGTCTCATTCCAAACGATTAAAAAACCCCTAGTTCCTCTGCTCCTTCTTCTTCTCCAATAGTTTCGTCACCTACACCTACACTTTGGATATCTTCTTATGAGTTATTCTTCGTTATTTACTTCGGTTTCACCGTCTGGTGGCCGAAAATTCGTGAATTCGCGACTAACGAGATGCTTATTTTCGCTTAGACGGAGCCGGATTACAACGGCGGCGCGCCCATCTTGGACTACGAGGTGGAGATGACGTCGCCGGAGGGGGGCCGAAGCCTGGTGCACAAGAGCAAAGAGCCGGAATGCGCGGCGACGGCGCTGCGGCCGGGCGGCGAGTACGCCTTCCAGGTGCGCGCCGTGAACCGGATCGGGCCGGGCGCGTGGTCGGAGCCGTTGCGGGCGGCGAGCGGCGCGGCGCCGCCTCGGGCGCCGGACGCGCCCAGCGTGGCGTGCAAGGGGCCGCACCAGGCGTACGTCGAATGGTCGGAGCCCGAGTGCAACGGCGCCCCCGTCGGCGAGTACCGGCTCGAGATGAGCGCCGATCTGGGCGAGGAGAACTTCTCGAGCGTGTACCAGGGACCGCAGACGAATTATGAAGTCAAAGGGCTGGCGCCGTTCCGGTCGTACTGTTTCAGAGTGCAGGCCGGCAACAGCGCCGGTTTCAGCGCGTACTCGCCCGTCGCGACGACGCTGACGCCGCCGGCGCCTCCGTCGGCCGTTGCTGTATTGAAATCCGAGTCGACGCCGACGTCGATCGCTTTGTATTGGAACGCGCCTAGCGAGGTACGTGGAATAACCCACACTAAACTCTTCTGTTATTAATTACATTTATTGTAGAACGGTAGCCCGATTATAAATTACAACATAGAAATCGGCGATAGGACGATAACAACGCAAGGACCCGTTAACGAATATCTAATCGAAGGTTTGCAGCCCGAGACGAGCTACAAAATCAAAATTCAAGCTGTAAACGAAGTGGCTGCAGGGCCGTATTCGACCTCTTTGCGAACGGCCACCTTGAGGCTGCCGCCTACCGCTCCTAGGTCGGTACATTTTTATTTATTTCGCGATAAATACACGTTAATGATTCGCTCGTTCTGCAGGTTGGAATGCTTGGGAGTTGCGCATAATTACGTGAAACTGAAATGGGGCGAAGGCAAGAACACCGAGTACACCCAATATTGCGTGGAAATGGAGAATCCCCGGTCCAGGGAGTACCAATGCGTGTACAAAGGTACCGCTCTCACGTGCAAAGTCAACAAACTGCACGAATCCACCACGTACAGGTTAGTAAATTATTATTTTTAGTAGGTGTTGTACCTTTAACGGAGAGGTGTTGGAATTATTTATTCCCACTGGACATATTCGAATACAAATTAAGCTTTATTACGAGCTTTAACGCTGACATTTATAACAACATGTAACGAACTTCATAATAAGTGACAAGTGACAAGCTGTCATGTCATCTCCCAGTAACAGACGACACGGAACTGTTTTTGTAAGGTCTGACAGCTGGCTTAAGACAGTTTTTGACATTTAAATCGCGGTTGCGTGAAACGACAGTTCAATCTGTCAAAACTTCAAAAAATATTTTTTGACATTTCGAAGAGAAAATGGAGAAATACATTAACCGAAGATACGTGAGGCTTGATGTTAACAACAAAACCATCGCTGATTTAAGTATATGTAGTGTATTTAAGTATATGTTGGTACGCAAAAAATTGTAATTCTTTACAACATAGCCTCCTAGAGGTCGCTTTAAAAATCCTGTTTTATCTTCAAATAACGCGACACTTTTTCTACCTGTTTCTAAACCTTAGAAATATACTACCGTGGTTAAATGGTTATTATATTCTGTTTTTCTTGTGGTCCAGGTTCAGAGTGAACGCAGCCAACGACGCGGGCGTCGGCGAGTTCTCGGACGACTACGAATTCACCACGACGGTGGCGCCGCCAGCCGCCCTGAAGGCGCCCAAAGTCACGGAAGTCGATCAGAGAAGCTGCTCGTTGGAATGGCTTCCATCTAGAAACAGCTTCGCGGATTCGGTGGTGTATCGCGTGCAATTAGCGCGGAAAGAACAACCCTTCAAACAGGTAATAAACAACTTACACCCTCACGCGATTAGCACTAATATTTTCCGTCCTACAAAGGTCTGCAAGTCTTCCGAATGCAAATCGACGCTCGAAGACCTGGAGCCGGGCACCGAGTACTCCGCCCGCGTGTGCCCCGTCCGCCTGACCGCCTCCGGCGAGCTGCAGGGCCCGCCGTCGCCGACCGTCTCGTTCGCGACGGCCGCCGCCGAGCCGGCGAGCGCCGGCTGCAAGGCGGGCGCGTCGAGCGCGCCGGCGCACCAGCCGCACAAGCACCGCTCCTTCTATCATTCCATCTCGCAGATGCTGAGCGTCTCCGAGAAGTACTGCACGTACGTGTACGTGATGCTCGTGCTCGTCGTCGGGATCGTCATGTCCTTGCTGATCATCTGGTTCATGTAGATGGAACGTTCAATTTCGGCGAGTCGGGGGCGATTGCTGGTTGGGACATTCCGTCGATTGTCGAGGGGAATCCCCGCGGACGTCTCCCTTCTCGTCGCGCGAATCTTAAGTATTATTAAACAGGGCTTTTTATTACGAATATTAGAGGACCAAAGCGCGAGGTTTTGGTATTTTTTTATACGTGTCTCCGTACTTGGTGTGGTGCTATTTGAAATTCGAGGCGCGAGGCCGTTTTTTTTGTTTGTTTCGATCGCGTTCGACGGGTCTCGTTTTTAGATTTTTTTTATTATATTTTTTTACGATTCGGAGATCCGGAAATGTGGCGGAAATTCTGGATGTGATTGATGTGAGAGTTGAGAACGCTTCTCTTGAGGTAAATTGGAAAGGTCGCACAATTTTTTATTCGGTTGCGTTTCGGGGAATTTAGCGCGGCATGCCGGAGCTCGATTATTTTTTCTATCGTATTTTTAGTAAGATTTTGGCATGCTGAGATTTGCATCCCTCCTCGTGTCAGTATTTTTGACAAAATGAGATTTTTATATTATAAGTGAAGCGCTTCAAGAGAAGCGTTCGGAGGAGTTTGTGTTGTTCCAGTCATAAGTGTACATATTGTGTAATGCTGTTGGCAATATTTAAATTATTATCTAGATGAAAATTTACTCGGGAAATGGCTGGAAAACTCGCTGGTATGTACAGGCCGGGCTGGTTATTAGTTATTACGTTTTCTTGTCAATTACTAGTGCAATGTTATTTTTTTATCATTACTATTATGAAAGTATCTAATTTATGTTGTGATAATTACGGAAACTTTATCTATATCGGTTTTCATGTACAGGTTGTTCGATATTTCGGTTGCAGAATATTATATAGGTACGGGACGGGATTTTTTTTTAAATTCTTTGACTCCATTACGCATTTTCCTAACACAATCAAAATAATCACCGATATAAATATTTTAGATATTTGTAAATAATATTTCAAAAAACGAATAGTAAAAAAAGTAGCTTATATTTTATATGTTCTATTTTAAAAAGGATAATATTAACTTTATATATATAAAAATAGAGATTTTTTAAAAGATATAGAGCATTTATTTATTTATAGAGTATTTGTTCGTTTTAGATGTTTGCATTTGATGTGTTTACATCTAAAACGACACGGAGATGTTCATTATGTATGTAGAGTGTTACGTGTTGTTAACAGCCGGTCTGTATGTACGAATATATAAAAAAGAAATAAGTGTATATGTTGAAAAATTATCCATTAAATTATATAAATCTAATGTTAATCGTTTATGATCTAATCATTTATAATTTTAAATTTGGCTATACTGGGAAGTGTAACTGTGCACCTTGCACTTTATGAAAAATTATTATAATTATTATATAGGTAAATATACATTATATATAAAAAATCAATTATATTTTATCTACTAGAAATTCGTGTCTTTTTCCTTACTGCCCACTCCTTACTCGAAATAACCAACACTTGTAGGGAACTTGATTGATATTTGTTTTGCACCAAGTATATTAGATTAGTAGGAAAAAAAATTGTTAAATAAAATACACAAATACATGCTTCGTTAATCACTTAAGAGACCCGAATGATTTAATTTAATAAAGCAACGTCCAAATGTTTTCAAACATCCAGTATATACACAGTCGATGTACATGCTTATTAAACTAACAATAAGGCACTTTCGTACAATGTTCACGGAGGGCAGAATAATATTTTTCAAAACAATTAAATTCACAAGACTAGCTGGTTGGCCCACCTACAATAATTATTATAAAGAGGTCATTTTATTCTCACCATTTAGCTTAAAAATCTCGACAATACGTGTTAAAAAGAACGAAGAGTAGAATCGCTATTAAGGATATAAAAAGACCTCCCTATTGTATCCAACGCGCCACTTTTATGGATGTCCATTCCAGATAAAAATACAAAATAAAACAGAACATACATCCATAAAAACCCACTATATTATATACCTTAATAATAACCGAAACTAATATCGTGAAGCGGAGCAGCCCCGCCCGAAGGCAGCGCGTAATCCTTGCTCAACTGATCCAGAATCCCTCCTGCCCTACCACCAGGCGCGCTCGGCGCCGGCCTGGGCTGATACACCGGCCGAGGAGCCTGCGAAAATCTACAAAAAAAAAACCACCTTCAATCAAATCCCACACAACAAAATCGAATTAAACAATGTACCTAGGCGCGGGTCTCGCAGGAATATCGAAATCGACGGGCGCCGGTCTCGCAGGAGCGGGCACCGGCTGGGCGTACGTCACCCTCGGGGCGGGTCTCGCCGCGGGGCCGAAATCGTCCAGCGGGCTCGGCTGGGCGCCGGGCACTTGCACCGGTCTCGGCGCCGGCGCGGGCGAGTACCTGGGCGCAGGGGCCGGCCTGGCCTGCGTCTGCGGCCCGAAGTCGAATTCGAACGACGATTGAGCTGGAGCTACAAAATTGTAAATCAAAATACCTCGATATTAATTAAATCGGGAGTGTTTACCGGATCGAGGAGGTTCTGCAGCCGGCTCGAATTGCTGCGGTGGAGAGTACTCCTCGACTTCGATCTGCTGCTGAGGCCTGGGTCGTACTGCTTGGGGTCTTCTGATGGGAACTTGGGGTAGCGGACGGGCCGGTCTTTGCTCGTAAAGGTCCTCTTCTTGCTCTTGTTCTATCGAAAATTTAAAATATTATACTCGAGCTACTATTGGTAGGGAATAATCTACCTCTGGACTCGTCGACTAACGTTGGAGGCGGTACCGTTATGCCCTCCCCGCTGGGATCGAAGCCGTATTTGGTGGCTCCGTACTCCACCACGCGTACTTTACCGGTGTCATCGACGTACCCGTACTTCCCTTTGACTTCACCGGTGGGCAGTTTGGTTTCGATTTTGAACGTCCCATCGGCCGATTCGTAACCGTAGGTATACGAACCGTCTTCGTTGTGTCTATAACAATTTGGTTGAAGAGTTGTTGAAGATTTCGCGAAGAAGTTACCTGTTGATTTGCTTCAGGATGGCAATAGGGGTGGGTCTGGGGGCGGCGGGTCCCGAGTAACCCGGTTGAATCCTAGCCGGCGCGGGTCTGGCTCTGGGCGGTTGCGGTTCCTCGTCGTAATAATCATCCTGAGCGAATGTTGCAGCTACTAGAATTAACACAGCCAACTGGAAAGGAATAGAGTCGAAAATCTATATAGAAAGTCGGTTAAAATTCATCGATTTTTATCTAATTCAGTCCACTCTATATCTTACGTAACCCGTTCGAACGAAATAAAATCACATTAGAATGGAAAACGGTGTGTTTTTTTTTGTTAGATCTAGCGGAGGCAGTGATGCAGAGACCGCACCCGCTACTTTATACAATCGATATCGGACCGATACTACGGTACCCGCTTTGAATTAATAATGACTTTCGATTCTTACTACACATTTCTCTCTCGCAGCCGGACAACCGGCGGTCCATTAACTTTTAAACTGACGTTGGACAATGCTTAAAATAACCAGCGAAGCGAAATATCCAAGCAGGGAAAACCTGTAGGTTATTGCAAAATCATTACACTAGTACAGGAGTAGATGAATAGATTCCTTCAAATCCTCCAGTACTGGTAGTAGCTTTTCGAGTGATTCATCGCTCAATAAATCGAGTTATTCTTGGCGATTGATAAGCAAGGTCCTCCTCCGGTTTGCGGAAATTTTCAGCGAGGTCCGCGCTTCTGAAAATGTCCAAGAACGGCCTTGGGTAATGGCTCGCGAACGCGGCAGTCGCGGCCGCTTCGAAAGGCGTTCGCGGAGATCCGAGCCGATGTGACGGGTAACGCCCAAGGTAGCTGGGCGATAAAAAACTTCATCGAGGAGGTTTTCACCGGATCCGAAAAATCGAAATGCCAAGGACTGGTGTGAGCGATGATTTTTGCTGGTTCGGCGGTTAATTAGAATGCGGTTGTGGGTAATAACCAGAAGGAACGGTGGAAATATTTGTATGAAGGTTTTAATAGAGCGTTTAATATGTACGAGGAAGTTCGATGGAAAAATGTAGTAAGGTTACAACGTGCAGTAAATTCTAAATAATTGAATGGGCATGAAGAATTCACGTGATTATTTTAAAGACATTTGGGGAGTAAGAAATTATTCCAAAAAAGAGTTGTTAAGAAGGATATGGAAGTAAAGAATGTAAAGAACAAAATATAGAAAATAAATTGTTAGCTACAAAAAGTAGTAATTTATGCAGTAGGATTTGGCATAACATTGCAAAAAAATCAAAATTATTGAAGAAATCTGCACCAAAACAACCAAGACAAAAGCTTATCTTTTGCTTTAAAAAAACAACAACTTAACAAAAATAATAGATAGACCCCCCTCTCTGGAATCGACCACAACATTGCTAATACAAAAAAAATAAAAAATAAACTCGGTGCCCCACTCGTATTGAGTTATCTTCGACCACCCACCCGTCCACCACCTCTTTCGCGGGTTGTGTACTCGCGTCAGAAAAATTGTACTCACGTTTCTCAAATGTAACATGATTGTGTTTGCCGGCACGACGCACTAAAGTGGCGCGGGGGGTCGACTTTTACCTTTTATAAGACCGAAAGCGAAGCACTCGAAGAAGGGGACAAGGTCCCGATGTTGCCGGGACCTCTTCTCAACCGAGTCCTCGGGACCCAAAAAATTTTTTGCTAATTTTCTTTCGTGTATTTCTCATATTTTTTATTAAAGTGTAGGTGCTAATTGCGGTATTCTAAGGATTTTTACTGTTATCATGAAGTACTTCGAATTAATTAGGAGTAAAAAATATTAATTCAATGCCGATTGGGAAATCGTAATCTAATAATTTCAGTTCTTGTGGTTTCTGTTCTATTGTTAACATATTGTTGCCGAAACAATGACCAATTTACCGATTCTTGTTAATCTTAATTTTCTTATTATGCACAAGGTTCGATTTTTTTCCGACGAATATCCGTCTTTCCAATAATCAAAGTGACTTATCCAGCAGATAGTCATTATTTTTTAACAACCTCCTATTCTAGAACATGCAAAATGTCCCACCCAATTTAAACACCCTATATAACAATTGTATTAATTACAATTCGTAAAAAACGATTGCGGTCAAAATCACCTGCGATCTGCGCAACACGATCTACTTACATATTACGTGAGTGCAAAGAAAGTGAAACGAAAATAATATGTCTAGGTAACTGGATTGATGGCTAAATCGGACTAAACTCTTAGACATTGGCGTATCAATACAACATTTCAAACTCCACAAGCATAATTTGACCTTAATGAAGCTCATAAATAAAATAATCTACAATAAAAAACCAACGAGACTGATTGGTTCATTGTTAGATAAGAGCTTGCGAAGTAAACGAGAGCAAAATTAATCGAGCGTTTGCTCGTCCGCGATTATAACCGCACAAACGAGGATTCGAGGAGGGAAATACGACTAATTAGCGCGCCAATTAGCAAGAAAAAGTTAGTTATTATATCTCGAAATGTTGCCAACATTGACCCAATACTGGCGGCATAGGTGTCGGCCATCGTTCGCATTTACATACATGATTTATATGCTTGTTGCAAATACTATCCCCGCGTTGGAATTTCGTATCATTTCCTATACAACACCAGCGTATCGGATTTATAGCGACTGTAGAATTTATTTCGCAATTTTAGTGGAAAAATTGGCGATACTGACGCTGATTATGTTGGCTCCCTGTTAAATCCGGTACTACCAACTAAAAGTAAACTAATGTAATGTATCCTCTCGAATACAACTCGGTGTGAAATGTTCATCACAAATTACGATTTGTTGTTGGGCCATTCGAAAACGAAGGCGCCCAAAGAAACTGAAAGAAAATAGGTGGAATTCCGAATACTCCACCTCTCGCGAGGGGAATGGTTTCTGGTTTCATAATGATAATGATAATAATAATAAGAATTTGCGGTGTGCTGTAGACGAAGTGAACGGGTGGAGCCATTCAGGAAGACCTTGAGCGCACGCAGGAATGCGAAACTCCTACTGAACTAGTTGCTTGCACCTTATTTTTTTTTTCGCTTTTGCTCATTTGCACAATCGGGGCTCGAAATTTAAATTTGAAATCTTCAGCGGCTGCGATTTAAATGAGTAATTGACATGTTCTTTTATATTTTATTGAACTATTACGAGTAATTTACATTCATTTTAGTTGACAATTTCTAAAATAAATATTGTTATTGGTATTATGCTAAAACACTTTGTATGTAGGATAATTAAAAACGGACTAGAGCAAAAATTAACTCCATTTAGAGAAAATGATCTTTTCCTAAGTCTTAATAAGGACAATAATGGTGTTGAAACACTTGTGGTAACGTATTTTTTTTTAATATAATATTAACAAATTCATTTTATGTGGTGTATTAAGGAAATAAGTAGGTATACTTCCATGAATCATTGCTATTGAACTCTTTGACATTTACAGCAATTGTGTTATGATATAAATATAACGGTAGATTATAATTTCGACTCATTTATAACGAGATATAAAACATGTATAATACGTTTTCGTACACATTCTAAATGTCAAAACCATTATCGCTCGATAAAATCAGCAATAAGAAATTAGATACAACCGCGAGTTACCTTCCACCAAACTTTTGTCGTTAAAATAAAATTGCAAAACCTACATCTCCATCCTACTATCTTTTGTAATTCACGGTATAAGACCCGGACCAGATATCCACGTTCTGCGCCGGATGTCCAGCCCACGAAGGCCCGTTGGGCTGCGCGTTGTTCGAAGGGTTGCTGTTCCACAGCGGATCGTTGTTCCATCTGGGCGCCGGATTCGCGTTCCAGTTATTATCGCTTCGGAAGCCGAAGTTCGATTGAGGCCTGTAAGCCGGCTGCGGTTGCGGTTGCGGTCTGTACTGCGGTCGAGGCCTGTACTCCGGCTCCTCTTCGGGCTCCTGGGCGTAGTAACTCTGGGGTTTATAAGAAGGTCGCGGTCTGTAGGTCGGTTGGGGTTGGTACGATTGCCTGGTGATTTGGGGTTCGAACGGTTCGTACTCCTGTTGCCTGTAAGCGGGCTCCGGCTGGCGGTAGGCTGGTTCCGGTCGGTACCTGGGGGCTGGTCGTTGCTTGGGCTGCTGTTGCGCGAACTGTTCATCTTTGTAATAATCCGCGGGATCTTCCCTGTACTGGCCGTCGTCTTCCTCTTCGGGTGCCAGCGGTCTGATGGCTTGTCTGTCGTTGTTCAAAGTCGGCGGGGCTACCGTGATATCGTTACCGGTGGGTTCGAATCCGCGTCTGCTCGCTCCGTATTCCACTTCGCGGAGGGTGCCGGTGTCGTCCACGTAGCCGTACTTGCCGTAGACCTCGCCGTTGGGGTACTTGGTTTCGATTTTGAAGGTGCCATCGGCGTCTTCGTAGCCGTAGGTGTACGAGCCGTCTTCGTTGTGCTTGTCGATTTGCTTGAGGATCGCCGTGGGAGCGGCGTAGGTTTTCGCTTTGGCCGCCGAAGCTGCGGCGAGAAGCGCAGCTGCTAGGATCTGAAAATTCGGTTTGTACTTGAGGACCGGTGGGACTACTTTTACTGGGCTATTAACCTTGAATGCGTAATGTATACGGACGTAAAATATAATTTATATCTTTTAGGAATAATTTTGTTTTTTTTTGTGTTAATATGCAATTTAAATTATTTTGTTATTGCATGTGAATGTGTTTTATCAAAAGAAAATCTGACTTTTATGGTTTAAATAGTCACTAAATACCCTTTTATTGCAAAAAATTAATTTATTACACAACCAATGTAAAAAAATAATACAAAAACTATTAGAAAGCTTGAGGGACAAAGTAATTTTACAAACTTTAATCAAATCTGGATTATTCCAAAGCATAATAATTTTTTTAACAAAAATACAGTTTCTTACCACAAAAAAAAACATATTTTTACCACTTATCCACTTAATTACGAATTAGCGAAAAAATACAATGTAAACAAAAACACTATACTTACGTATTTTTTCATCTGGATCGATCACTTGCAGTGGAACGATATGAAAAGAGGTAAACAGCCGCGCCTATCTTTAATGAAAGCTTTTATACCAACTTATCCCCACGTACTGTGGTGGCAAGGTTATAAATTTTAAATTGTGCATCAGTTTTCGTTTTGTAAAACAATTCTATAACGATTTTCCGATGTAAGAGTATTGATTATAAGAAACTTCACTTTGAAGAAGTTTTATTGAACTTTAGGGCATAATTAAACTTAGTAAATTACTGTAACTAACTGAAAGCAAATAAACTTTACCCTATATCTACAAAAATTATATAATAATAGTTAGTCACTATCGGTACACCTATGATTTTATAATTGTTTTTATGCACTTTTTTTATTTATTTAGGTATTTAATCTAAATTCGATCAGAAATAAAAATTTGTCTTCCTCTAGCGTAGGTAATGAAATTTAAGGACGTCAACTGCTCTCAAAGAATCTGGGTGTGTGAATCGAAGGTTTAATTGTCTGATATATTCTAAAAATCCATTTTTTCTGGTAAATAATGACTCTGCAATTCAGTTGCATTCACGTTGATTGCAATCGATTTACGGGCCTAATAACAAACATTAAACTGACAGTGACAAAAATGTTGTCACAAAATTGAAGAACATTTTGACCTTCTGGCGTTGTATCAAATCAAGTTAGGCAACAAATAAAAAATTTCTGGAAGGTTGTTTTTATACTTAATTAACTCGTAAACTATATATTCAATGTCAATAGCAAATTTCGAAATTCTATATTCACTACTAAACTAATATGCTCTACATCTAGTATCTTAAATTCTGGATAACCAAGCCATGATCTTGTTATAATACTGTAACCAGTGAATAAAGTTTTATTATAGAATTGCGATCAATACACCTGTTGATACTCGTAAATAGGAAGTGCTTTACATCCGCCAGCGGAGTCGAATATTCTTCCTGCTAGAATAACGTCAGGCATCGAGCGACCAATAAATTAATAGCCAATAATTGACAATGATCAGCCGTATTCATAAAAGCATATGGATTCGTTCGTCGAGGTCGACACACCTATTCTATTGCCAATAACCCATACTCTACATTCCTGAGATAATACTAATTTTCAAAGCGCTATCTACCTGTTATAAATAACTGAAAGTTTTGTCCGAATGCGAATAATCCTGCGACTTCGAGATGCTTCTTGTATCGAATGTAGAGTAGAATGAAAAAGTTTAATATTGATAGATTTGCGAAAGAAAAATTTGTGGTACTATCAATGAATTTGGGACATATGAAGGTACTATTTCCTGATCTGATTTCTCATTAACTGCGATACCCTGTATAGATATAGTTTTTTTTAATGTACATACTTGTGAATGGATTAGGTACGACCTACGTACTAGGTGGTACTAAGCACAAGCATTCTTGTATACCAGAATCGAGCTATAGACAACTTATATTACTTGTATGTGAATTGGTACTTGCATAACTTTCCATACTGGTAGGTACTCAAGAAATGTAAAATTCTTACAACTTTATGATGAATATCATTAAGGCATTTTCTACAAATTACAGTTGCAAGAATTTACAAAAATAAACCGAAAATTTCCAATAAAACTGTTTGGTATTCCGCCCGATCTTTTATTTTCAAAAAAATAAGTCTCGACAGAAAGAGACCGGGTTCGGGATAAGGTGTAGCATACAAATTTGTTGTCAGTCGATTAATAAAACGAATAAAGCTCCGTGTAAATTGCGCGATGATTAATAACCGGACGGCCTGAAATTTGAGTTAGATTAACTATAAGCTTAGAAGGAGGCAAGTGCAATTTCGCAAATTCCATCAATATAACTCTGTTAGAAGTGTTAAGAGGATTCGTCAAAATAAACATAACTTTGCTAGTTAATTTCTGAAGTTACTCAGAGTGAATTAATTAATTAGGTTTAATGAATATTGGGGCTGCAAAATAAAATGCTTGTTGAAGTAATTGGTATTGTTCGTGAAGGTAAATGAGGGGGAAATTTATCGATCGATACTCTTAATAAAAACACTCGAGTATAGTATAAAAGTTGGAATTCCTTTGGAACAGCATCATTTTTTAGTCTGAAAATTCGCAACGGATAGACACATTATAAAAAAATTTATGTGTCAAGGTGTAAAAGGTGGAGACATAAATTGGATACTGGGAATTTCTGTCTGTGGGCTCGCGCCTCACGACGCGCCACCTCTAACGGAAATCAGATCCTTATCCTTTTGAGCCTGTTTCGTTTGGTATAAATTAGGTTTCGCGAATCGCCCGCCGGAATGCCAAAAATGCTACGGCTCAATTCGAATACCCGCCGAAGAGGTTCAAGTTTCCTCATTGTTTGCCTTCGATGGAACGCCAGAAAGTCAATGTTCTCGAAAATGTACACACGTAACGCCAATTATCGGTTCTCGAAACCGTTATTAACGCGGATTTTCCAATAATTTGTCTCGATTAATTGTCGCGAATGGCGAACGCTGCTCTTGCCTCTAACGAATTTGTGCAATGTTTCAGTTTTTAAACTTGACCTCAATACCAACGGCCTGTACTCCGTGAGATGAATCGAATTCTGAAGAAAATTGTGAAATTTAACGCAACGTTTTCTGTCCGTAACAAAACCCATAGCTGATTCATTTGAATAAATCCGCACAGAAAATTACCAAGGTACCCTTACTACATGTTTATTGTTCCTCATCGCGCATTCCTCGAAGTGTTAGAATTATTTCGGTGCTTATCGCGCGTCCCTATCTTCGAAAACACTTACTTGAAATCGATTTGAATATTTACGTGCGTTAAAAAATTATTCCGAGATTATTGTAGCTTTTTCTCTACCAGTATCGGTATTAAAATTTTCTTTCAAGTGCACCTGATACTAACTGGATACAAAGTACTCACTAGTACAAGTAATTTTTGTTCTATAATAGTACAAATATGGTGACAATAAATTTTTATGTTGATGTATTTGTTGTTTTAATAAAAGATTTAATTATTAAATCGTTGGGGCCGGTACTGTAATTCCGTATAAGACATAACATATACCGATTTTGAGATCGATATCGAGTTTTCGGACTTGATATATTGCATTGTTTTTTATTGCACACCATCAAGTGATTTTATTTAGTAGCCAGCTAGCCGATTTTATGTTTGAGGAATTGAAATTTCAGGAATTTCATTTCGAATCTTGATCATCATAAAACGGGCAGATATCGATCGGCGACGGTTGATTGATGTATTATTATTTATATGGTACACAATAAGTACTGCGGGTGATTATCAAAAGTGGGTCCTGAGTACTGAGTACCGTTAGCGAATTCCGAAAATAACTGCTGGTACCTTTAAATCATGTGTTTCGGTCTTTAATTTATCGTTCAGGTGCTCCCATTCGTTCCGAGAGATTAAATTTAGTGTTGTAATATAAGCATTACAATGATGCTTCCATATATAGGGAATCGATAAAAAAATATCGATCTACTCTCATATAGTTGATAAAACGGATCAAACGCTATCAAATTTATGCATAAATAGGATAGAAATTTGAAAATTAACGTCAAATCTAAACCAATTAAGTAGATAAAAAATGGCCAAATACAATTTAGATTTCACTAACAAACAACGGAATATAATTGTCACTTTCTTAATGCAAAACACGCGTAAGATTTTTATTATATCCTTAAAATCAAATAAACGTTTTTTTAATTCTTTAAAAAGGACATTGACTTGCCCGAAGAACGCAAACATATAAATATCTATTAGTCAAACCAAAAAGACTTACAGTTACACTAATTTAAATACGTTATTTTGTAGTGATTAATACAAAAATCGATAAATTATAGGAAAATTACGATGGGCATGATTATCAATAAGATAAAAGTGTATATAAGAGAGAAAAAAGGAAGAATTGAGCTTTTTTATCATCATCTTTCATTTATTTGGTAGGGAATCGATAAAAAATTATAGGAAAACTATTATGGGTATGATGAATTTGAGATAAATGAGAGAATAAGGAAACATTGAGCTTTTTATCTTCATATTTTACCATCATCATCCTTCATCATAATTAATTCTTCATCATCTATCAGTATCTCCGATCATCATAATCCTTCACCACCATTGATTCTTCATCGTCTTTCATTATCGCATTGAATCATCATAATCCTTCACCACAAATGATTCTTCATCGTCTTTCATTATCGCATTGAATCATCATAATCCTTCATCACTATTAATTCTCCATCATCTTTCATCTTCCTTAGAAATGAAGCGTTAGTTGCTGGAAAAAAATCCGGCTCTCCGGTGACGAACCGCGCGCGAATCGCGAATCTCTGGCGCGCGCGTTTTCTTCGAAATTTCTCGTCGTGACGGCGTCGTTTCGGACGGCTCCGGACCGCCCGGGTCGCCCGGACTCTCCGGTCGAGGGCGTCAGAGGAAAAAGAAGTGGCGGTCGCGAATCCACAATGGCGGTGCCGTTCGATCTCAGTGTGTCGTTAGACTTTATGCAGCGCGCATTAGCGCGTCACAGAGATTAGTGCACGTGCGAAGCGGTTTCGCCGATCGTGAGATGCCGTGAAAATTGGCAGCGATGCGCGGCTCAATGTGCTCCAAGCGATTCCTGCTCTATTTTCTCTACGGCGCCTTCACCATTTCGGTAAGACGGTTATCATTTTTTTGGGGGATTTTCGGGGTTGGAAATGTGGCGTTTTGTGTGATTAATTTGATGAAAGTACAACAAAAAATGTGTTTGTAATTGAATTACTATTATTATCAATAGGTTGAAAATATATTTTTCTCTAAAAATTTAATAATTCGAAACAAACACTTTGAAACGTTTTTTATTTCAATAGGAAATTGGTTCGATTTTAATTAATTTTCCTATCAACACTTTTAAAAAATTCAACATTACTTCCAACAACATTCAACCACCTACACTACAAACAAACAAGAACATATTTATTATCCATTTCTTGTATAAAAAATCAAGAAACCATAAAAATCTTAAAATATTCATAAACTCCTTTTTACTACCAACCACAAATGTAGCATCACAAAGTTATTATCGTAAAACAACTCCGGCATTTTTTAGGTACTATCGTTTTGTTGCAAAGTAAAACTCGGCGATAAATAAATCCTGCGGCAATAAGGAAACGAGCGGCGGGTCAGTCGAGCAAATTGCCCGGTGAGGCTCTTCCGAAATCTCGGAATTCATCGCGCGCTCCGCAATTATCCGAGCGATTCCGCGCGGGTTTTTTGTTTGAGCAATTAGCGATATCGCTCTTCGTTTTCGACGGCCGTAATTGCGCTTTATGTGTACGAATTTACGGCGATTGTCAAGGATAATGAATTTAATGGAATGCGAACCGCGTCGATGGTAATTATTCCGATGAGTTGGTTGTAGATTTTTTTGACTGTTTTTGTAATGCATGTTTCGCGAAAAATGCTACTCCTCTCGGTGAAATAGGAAACTTATTCGTTAGCAATTTTAAAATATCACGTCTTTTTTTTGGACCCCACCTTATAATATGATAATATCGCTGAAGCATCCTACATTAAAATAAACATGTTTGTATTGGTACTCATCCTTTTATCGTTAATATAAAAGTCGTAAAACTTAATAGCTCTATATATGTAGTTCCTTCTTGCTCTCCACGTATTTATAGGTCTGATCTGTTATGATTGCGTAAATCTATTTAGCAAAATGTCGAAATAGCCGCATGAGTGGAGGCCAGCATTGAACCATGGATAATTATACGAAGAGAGACCGTAAATTCTAAAACGGTTAAATAAGACGTAATAATCGGTCAGTCGGATTTTTTTTTTCATGTTTGCCGAAGAAATTCACTTTGAAATAACCACTCAATCAATAACAATTCACCATTTGCATCTACTCAATAACGCAGCAAATGACAGATTGACAGATTCAAGTATCGTCAGTGTCATGGCCGTATATTTCTAAGGTCTAGAAACTGTGCCCTAGCGGCCGTTTTAGGTACCCTGTTTTCCAGGACTGATGTTTCCATACCTTAGAAATATACGACCGTGTCAATAACGCAACAAATGACAGATTGACAGAATCAAGTGTCATCCGTGGCCTTTGATGGTGTTTGCTTGCAGTTACACCACGTTAGAACATGCCTAATGTAATGGGACACCTGCGTGCACATACGTGCTGCAAAAAGCTTTGATATCGGTAAAAAATCGCGGAGAAGTGGCGTGGCCGTCTTTAGAGAACCAACAACACCTACGTGAAGGAACATAATCCTCCGAAGAACAACAAAAAGGCCTGCTGGTTTATCTATTTCGTGTGCAAACGCGACGTAAGAGATAAAAGTTCTTTACAACCGAGCAATAGATACGACTAGTGTCTAGTATGTGCAGGGTTGTAAATCGCGTTTAACGAGTAGACTAAAAGCTTGATGAAATTGTAATATTCGATAACAAGCGTTTTCGTTTTATTCGCATTATTTAGTATTGGAATTTTCCGGATAAAATGGTCATAATTAAATCTCACCGTGTGTAAGGATTGACGGTTTATTAAGCTTGTTAAATTAGTTCCATTTGGAACGTAATACTTAGCGAAATGTCAACCACCGTGAAATGTATTCATTGTTCATAAAATGATTTTACTGCGATGTTATTGCTAAATGCTTTTGTGTATAAAAACGACAATCTCTTTGGGTATTAATTGATATTTAAGCAGGTATAGTTCGTCATTTCAATTGATGAACCGAATAATATTGTTTGTTGTTTCAATTTGCATTTATTCCCACGGTTATTAAACTTTTTAGTACTAATAAATCGCGCTTTTAATTGCGCAAATGAGTAATCTATGAAGGACTTGGGTAATTATAGAATAATAAATGTTCTAACAGTCGTAAGTACAAATGTGCGAGTTCATAAAAATAATTGCAGTTAAATCTAGAAATATAATACCAATAATTGAGCATATACACAATTCAACGATCCATTAATTTACTTAGTACAAGATTAACTTGTCTTCCGAAGAATTAACCCATGCTGGTTCTGCTGTACAATTGCTGGAACCCACGCAGTCCGGTAATCGTACCGAAAGTACCAAGTTATTTTTTAAAAGTTCCATCCTACGGAACATTTGTTTGTTATGCACTCAGTTGATAGGAAATAGTTTTGGCAAAATTCGAGCAAATAAGCGTAAAACATCGGGCGGTGTTGTTATGTAAGGTCGCGAAGGAAAAAATAACAAAAACGACAATTTCAAGAATGCAATTGCTTTCTCTTGCATAAGCCTCATCTACGACCTTCAAATTGAGAAATAAAATAAGCGTTTTTTGGACATATTTTATTTCCTAGACATTGTCCCAGATTCCTTAGTTAATATACTTTACTTTCTCTATACGAGGAGCGTTCAGTAATTTATTCAATTATCCAAATCTAACTTATCTGCATAAGTTCTCGTTTGGTTTCATCCCAAACAATAAATTGCTACTGGATTATCAGTAGCATTATGGTCAATTTTTTATAAACAAATTCATCTTCGATTCTGTCACGCCGATGGTTTTAAATACATTGTAAATAAAAAAAACTGCGGGATTAAGAAAATAACGAACCTCGATAAACGGTATTATAAATTCTCTTCGGCTCCCGGTATTCGAAACAAGCTTTCTTTCGGGGTTTTAGCATTATTGATCACCTCCCGAAAAATTCGCAATAAAAATTCCCCTAAGCGCCAGTAAGTCTTTGGCTCGTAAATTAAGTTTATGATAATTATATTTTTAAAACTGGTTTTATAACACCTAAACCGTATCATTAGCTGTCCCATAAAAAGGGGTTATGCATTTAAAAAGTATATTTTTAAGTGGTACAATGTTAAACGGCGGGTGTTATTGCCTTTGGCTTACTTTTTGACTTTTCGATGCGCACGAGGAATTCCGATGAAAATTTTAATAGGTTAGTAGGCATCCCGTTTGCATATGGCGCGATCCGACGCGAAAGATATCCCATATGAAAAATTTGATATAAATCAGATTAGCGAAATAAATTCTAATTAATTGAACAGATATGTGCAAGAATACCTACATCATTCCCAACAGGTGTGGTATGACCTTTATCTATTGATTTGCCTTAACAATTCTCCCGCCCATTGTTAATTATATAAAAGTCACTCAGAAAATTATGTACGGAGTAATTACGTTTTCCACGTTTTAATAAATCTTGCTGTACATCGCTTTTGAAATTCTCAATTCGAATTCTCCAACTCATTTTCTCGAATTTTTTTTCGAGAAAACAATGTCTCCGCCAATGACGCAATTTCAGTTATAACTAGAGCAAAGCCGGCGACCTTGCCGGCCAAATAGTACCAGCACGAGTGGTACCCGGCCACATATCGCTTCCGGTGTACAGTTGGTACCGCCGCCGCCGCGGTAGCGAGGGAGTACCGTGCCCAAGACATGCGGTACTATCGTGATCGGTATTTAACGGAGAGTAATTGGCGTCGTTAAGAGCACGGCATCAATCAGATGATACTCGCGACTCGCAGGATAATAATTCCAAAAAATTAGTTCCTAATTCGACGAGAGAGATTCTCCGGGCGATTATTTATCGAGTCAGGAGATAATAATCTATAAATATATTTATTAAATCGTCCCTTATACGAGTCGGTAAATTAACAATAAATCGTCGAGGTATAAAGTTCTTAAGTACTACATTGTTTTGAACTCTTTATTGTTGGAACAACTGTTGGTTTGTGATGTCATGTTTTAGCATGATTAATGCCGTTAGTGGCTTCGCAATTTATTAATTTTTAATTGTCTCGGAGCTATAAATCACTAGCCGTAACAGTAACGAACCCGCTAAAAATTGAAAAAGAACGTTATAAAGTAGAAAATACGTCTGGATATAAGGCGATTAATTAAAACGAACGTTCAACAAGTTTTTGTCATCTTCTTGCTTTATTTTTCCCTCCTTCCAAGCCGTCTTCGTGTACTATTTTAAGCTCAAATATAACATTTGATCGAGAATTTTTTAATACCCAAAGAGTGTCTTAAATAGATTGGAATACCATGAATATCAATATCGAAAATCAAGATCAATATCAATAACAAAACTAATTATGTCAACCTGTCTTGCGAGCAATCAATTGCTTAATTTTCACCTGTGCGCCGATCGACGTGCATTAAGGAGTATGTGATTTACGATCGAAGACAATAAATATTTTGTAATTATACAAAGACAGACATCCTGGAGGTCGAAGCGATTCGAACGTCACGGCGGATCAAAAAGATAATATAAAAAAAAACCGGTAGGTTGTCCCCAGTTTTGATGCAAAAAAAAAACCGTAATGTGGGTAATTAAGCGACAAGTTGCCGATTATCGGCAACAATAGGTGTGTCTTCGAGCACTGCGTTAATTTGATCCTGTTCGGTGGGAAAATACATACATGTAAACACATTTTACGCGCATATTTTATGATCCTTCGAATAATTTCATTAACTAATCGATATACTGTTAATTGCATAGGCGCGAGAAATTAACATTATCTCCAATAGCATCTACCAGTAATTATACCATATCTCAATCAATATGAATTCTAAGAGCCTCTCGCGAATTTATTGCGGCAATTCGAAAGCGAAAATAACTAGTGTAGCACAAAAGATGAGACTGGCTTTTATAGAA